TTATTTTATTCTTTATTTTCTTAATGATTTTGGCCATCAAAATGGAAAAAAAATCCAAGTGGATTAAAAAGGGTTTTTTTTAAATATAGCAGAGAACAGATGTAAATTCTTTAAAGTAACCACTCATCTAGTCCCTGAAATAGAATCCTAAAAATACAGCTGGCCTATTCTGACTTACAAGAGTGTAACTTTTGTCCCTGCTGTTGTGAACTGTGTAAAACATCAGGCATTAGTGTGCTGAGGAGAAATGCTTCAAAACACTCTCTTCCTGCAGGAGCTTGTTGGAATTTTTTTTTAACTCCATTTGTTGGTAGAAGTGGTGGGAGGGGCAGGGAGGATAGAAAGTCATGTTTTTGGAGGAGGAGGAGGAGAAGGTCATTCCAATAGTATTACATAGAAATTTAATTTGCCAGAAATTAAAACTGAAGGGTAAGATGTCTGTTAAGTAGGGGGGTGGTTAAAAAAATTAAAGTGTATATAGACAGTGAGATACTGTGCAATTGTTTTAAAAAAAAAAAAAAGTGCTGGTATGTGCAGGTAAGAAATGAGACAAAAGTCTGTGAAGTGAGGAGAACAGAGTGCCAGATATGTATGGGATGCTACCTTTCGTGTGAAAAAGGAGAGGACGAGAGTCTGTCTTCATACCTGCTTGTCTTTACATAAAAGAAGACTAGATGAGTACATAAGTAACTAACAAAAAAGATGACTTCCCATGAGAAGGGTCTTGGTGGTGGGAAACGGGATAGATGATGGACAAAGGCGGGAGGAAAACTTATTAGTTAATACTTTGTTTTAAATAGATATTAATGTATTACCTAGTCACAGAGTTGACTTGACTCAAAAGTGAGAGGCAGCAGAAGACAGTGATTAAAAATGCAGATTCCCTAGTGAATCCTGGCTTTGCCACCCGCCAGTTGTGTGAGACGCTGTTCACGTCCCCTCTCGGTGCCTTAGTATTGTCATCCATAAAGTCAATTCTTATAAAGTACTTACAGCAATGCATATCATATAGTGAGCTGCTGCAATCGTTATTAGTAGTAGGAATATTAAAGACCAGTAATTCCCATTGTATAAAGTGTCTAATTTTTCGTCACATTTGTAAAAGTATTAGAAATACCTGATGCTTTTTTTTGTCTCTGTAATATCATCTTTTAACTGAAGTGTTGGATAAATGCATGTGGGGTTTTGGTCTCCTTGTTTCCCTTGCCCTGGTGATTAAGAGCCTGGCCTCGGAAGTGGACAGAATTGGGTTCAAATCCCCCACTCCCAACACTTCTCCCCAGTGTGTTCTTTATTAGGTGCTATAAGAGATGCGGAGATGTTTGCACTGAATTGAATAGGTTGCCTTGAGGGGGGAGGCACTGTCCTGAAATCTCCATTGAAGATGCTATATTCTGAAAGACGAGGAAGGGAGATCATTCATTCATTCATTCATTTTAGCATTAATGTCTCTGGTCTAGATCTGCACTCAGGCAGATCCTGGTTTACACCAGTTGTTACTAGAACAGTCTAGAGAACCATGTTCTGGAGTAGGATTCTGCAGGGATCTGGGACTATCCAAGGCAGGCTACTGGTGAGAACCAAACCCATGGTTTCATTCTGGAATCCGTTTCTGATTCTCTGAACTGAGAATGACTAATCCACATTATACCCTGAGGTTTAGGCTCATATGGGAAGTGGGAGTCTGCAGTCAAAGCTGTCTCTTTGCTTCCTGTTCCTTGTCCCGTTGTTCACCAATTAGAGACAGTATCTGGTTAGATAGAAGTTGGCCAGTGCCAGCAGCTCACCGTCTGTAGAGCCTGTCCTTTGAGGAGTTTTCTGTGGTGAGGATGACTCCTGTGATTAATTGCATCTTATAGCAATCTTCCAGAATACCTGACTCAGGGTACACGCACTTGTAAGGTACTTGACTGCTGAGGCACAGGGGCTGTCTCAAGGAAATCAGGCACAAAACTGGCTCTGTTAGCTTGAAGGGAAAATGTATGATGCCCTAGTGGCCACAGTAGAGATGATTATATTCATTTTAGGGGAAATTGAGGTATGGCTGTGAAGCACCTCAGCCGCGCAAAGCCAGCTGCTTGGTGAGGGCTAGGGGGTGTTTGAGCCCACGCCTGGGCCTCGCACCTCAGGCTCAGCAGGCCTTTTCCGAGTGGCATCAGCGGTCCATGGAGTCTGATATAATGTCCGAGTGTCTTCATTTTAACTAGTTTAAAATGATGGGGAAGCAGTACCTCAGAAAGGCTACTGTTTTATATACGTTGTTTTACATTAATTTTTGAATTTTGAAAGGTTACAAAAATGTGATATTTGTTGCTGCTGTAACACCTGTACATTCACATTTTCCGTGCTATCTAAAAACAATGGAAACTAAGAGGTTTTGTAGTCAGAACCTTTTTACTTACCAGGATATTATATTTAGGTGTTAGTATGATAGGGTGGGAACTCTGCATTTAACCTAACTTGATGTTATTATCAAGTTCTATGTGGCCACAAGTCTGTTAGCATTTTTGCTCAAGCATTATTTGCTTTTAGTAACTGAGGCCTGTGCCTTTTATCCTCAAGACAACATTTACAGATAATTTTTAAATGTGTATCATAGTTTTAAAATGACATAAACTGACAAAAGTCCCAGTGTCCTTGGTGTGGTTAAGAAGGTAAGGCTTATTATATATTTGCCCAAAATAGTAGGTATTTTTGAAAGTTAAATTATAAAGAGAGCATTCCAGAGCACGGAGGGCCCCCGAGATGCCTCAGGCAGTGTAGTGTGAGGGCGGAGTTCTGGCTTTGGACCGGGTTTGAATGGTGGGTTTGCTGCTTTCTAGTGGGCCTCACACAGAGCCTCCCTTTCCATCGTAGCGTCATCTCGGGCTGGGCTGTCACTAATCTGGAGATGGCATGTGTGAGGAACCCTGCTCGGGGCCTCGCGCCACAGGGAGCGCCAGATGTCTCCCCTGCTCTGCTCTCTGTTCCAGGCAGGAGGCCTTGGACCAGGGCTGCAGACTCAGCATCAAGGCCTGTGCAAAACTGCTTTTTAAGATGCTTTTGATGGTGCCCAGCAAGTAAAGTTTTTGAAGCAAAGAAGGACTTTTCTCTCCTTTTATTAGTGGGTGTCTTGAGTGTGTCAAAATAGGTTTTGAAAGTAAAGAGCATTGAATACATAAAATGATAATTCTATCAGTGATTTTTAAAATATAAATATGAATATAGCCAAATGAGTACCACTGCCCCAATCAAACTGGCTTGGGGTTACGTGAAAATTTAAAACTGAAAACAAAGCCCTTTGTTTTTAAAGTTTTACAGTTACTTTTAAAATGTTATCACCGTTACCTGGAGATGCTTTTGGGAGTAGATGCCAGGTGGTGTCCTCACCTTCCCATTGTCGTTTCTTCTCTGTAACACTTTGCCCAGAGGAAGGAGAACGCGGGAGCTGCACCCGCCCAACTGGTTATGTTTTTTTGAAGAATGTTGGTATTAAATTCATAATTAGGTATTAGGTATTTTGATTTTTTTAAAAAATATATTCTAAAGAGTTTTGTTTGCTCTTGCTTTAATTGTGAAAACTATGCAGTTTTCAAAAATTAGAGATACAGAATTTGTGCATTTCATAGTATAATTAAAATACATTTTCAAGCAAATGGGCTTTAAGTATGTATATGTACTGTTGATACAAATCAAATTTACATTGTCCCGTGTTATGAAAGCAGCTTTGTTAGTTCCCGTGAATCTGGCTTTTATGTTGGAAGGAGAATACAGGATTACAGCGGATTACAGTGTTGGGATAACATCTGACTCCTTGCGTTCTGTGCACTCCACATAAAAGTCCTCCAAATCTGGATGTTACTATGGTGATATTAGCACAAGCTTGAGTTTTCGATTGGTATAGAGCTTAGTACAGTGCCTGTTGGAGTAACAGATGAATTGGTTATCTTCTGAATCAGTGTGTCGTGCCTGTGCTGATTTCACTAGGATATGTGAGGGTTCTGCCTGTGCAGATCCGACCCAGATAATCAGTGTCTGGGGAAAACATCTGTCTCCTTTCTCTGTGCCCCCCATAAATGTGGATTACACCCAAGAGGCAGGAGAATCTGCTGAAAAGAGCACCATTCTGGGGTTTAATAAGAATAAAAGCAACATTATTGCTACCATTTGTTGAGTCAGTCTTTTGTTCCAGGGACCATGTGAGGTGCTTTACTACATTATCGCTGATGCATTTAATTGCAGTTACTTCTGTAACGCTGCTGCCGCTTGCTGTGTGTGAGCGTATGATCTTAAGTAGAGGACTTGGACTCTCTGGACTGAGATGCCCACTCCTTTCAAACAGGGATGGTCTCTGATGTTTGGAAGAAGAGCTCTGAGCTCTGTGAGATTAAAGTTGTTACTGTTTTTTTTTTTTGTGAGAAGATCAGCCCTGAGCTAACATCTGCCAATCCTCCTCTTTATTTTGCTGAGGAAGACTGGCCCTGGGCTAACATCTGTGCCCATCTTCCTCCACTTTATATGGGTTGCCTCCACAGCATGGCTTGCCAAGCGGTGCGTCGGTGCACACCCGGGATCCAAACGGGTGAACCCCGGGCCACCGCAGCGGAGCTCGAGCACTTAACTGCTTGCACCACCGGGCCGGCCCCAAAGTTGTGACTGTTTTTATGGTAACAGCACATTTTTGACATTCTCAAGTCTAGAAGCACATATTCGGCTTTTGTCTTGGTCCCAGGAGTGGTGGTCTTTCAATGACTAGAGAGTTATTTTCACATGTCAAATGTACAAGGTATTTGAATGAGGGTGCCTTATAATGATAACACTACTCTTTTTATTTTACTAGTAAAATTTGGGAGGTAGAGATTATGTTGTTTTTGGTGGGGGTGGTGATCATAGATGTTTTCCCTCTGAGAGGTGATATGCAAGATTTTGTTGGGTTGCTACTTGTGGAGTGTGTGTATGACGGGGGAAGAGGAAGAATCTCAGGAATTTTCCTTATACTTTTTTCTTCTGTTCATTTCTAGTCTTTATAACCTGGCTTCACTGGAACTAAGAGAGAATCTTCTTACATATCTTCCTGAGTGAGTCTCTGGGGAAAATAAGAGGGGATTTTGCACTGAGTGAATTTCTTTAAACATTAAAGAAAAAAAAAAAGACTACAGTATTTTGTTAAAAAGAGATTCTGTATCTTTTGGAAAGTTTGGGAGATGCCAGTCTTCTCTTAATAGTCCTTCCTATGCAATGTTTACTGCTATAAAATCCAAATGAATCTTATTTTTGGAAACTAGTCCAAGTGAGGAATATCACATTGCTCAGCATTTCTAAGTACTAAGAGCTCCTTGTTGTTGTTTTTTTTTTTTTATAGCTCTCTTACCCAGCTACGGAGACTAGAAGAACTTGATTTAGGAAACAATGAAATATATAATTTGGTAAGTTTGTATTGAAGAGAGATTTGAATTTAACTTAGTTATGATCACAAAATATTTTTGGGGGGATCTGTAGGGATGCTTATAAACCAGCATTTCCACAGATACAGTTGGCGACGTTAACGAATGTGCTTCAGTTCACACAGGTTAGGAATCATGATTCAGGACTGGGGAGGGTCAGGACTAGAGACGATGGACGTGAGTGGAAATGACTGACATTCTTGGAGAGTGTTGGGGGTGCTTTTAGGAAGGGGGAGAAGTCCTAAGAAACATCATCTGTTGTACCCAATTATTAACTGTTGAATTAGGAATCTTTCTTTCTTAATGGAAGACTGAAAATTGGATCTTCGTTACCGTAACATTATTTTTTTGTTTCAGCCAGAATCAATTGGAGCTCTCTTCCACCTAAAGGATCTCTGGTTGGACGGAAATCAGCTGTCAGAATTACCTCAGGTAAGTGGTAATTTCACATCATCACCCCCAAAACATAAAACAACAGCCACCACCACTGTCATATACTCCCTACTTCCACATGAGATGTTATGTAAAAGGGATCTTGAAAACCAAAAACATAAGTTGAAAAAGCACATTTGGAAAAATATATTGCTACATTCATCATGCTACATTGCCATAGAAAAATTAAAAGCTTCACCCCAGCATTTCTAAAGATAGTAAATAGATCCTTCAGTTTGTGAAGTCTGGTTTTTATTTCACCCTTGCTTCCCCCAGGGCTTACTTCAAGCCCAGCAAGTTCGTAAATTACCGGGGCCCCTGACTCTGATGGTGTACATTTCTGCCATCCTTTGTGATGTGCCAAGTGCTTTGAGATAATTTTGACCACATTTTGCCCTGCAATAGTTGATGTAAAAGTAACGTTAAAAGCTTTTATTTCATATTGTTTCCAAGTATTGCTTATGGTTTAGCTAGAATGTTATGGTGTTCTGGTTTTTCCTCATGTGAGAACCATGTTCCAAATGAAATGGAACCTTGTATAGACTGCTGAATGGGTAGTTATCTCATGGGGTCCCAGGAAGCAGGCCCGCCTTCTGGTTGGTTGAGAGAGAAACCTAAAATAACAAATGAACAACAACAACAAACAGGCATTTCCCCTTATTTTCTTTTGCTCTAGCAAAAGAATACTGAATTTTATTTTTTGATGTATCTCACAGCCAGTCTGTGAAGTCAGAATACGTTTCATGATGGTCTGGGTGCTGATATTTTAAAGTAATTCGGATGCTGTCTCTGCTCAGCTGTGTGCACCAGTTGTGGTGGGGCTGTGCGCTTGAGGTGGGGAATGCCATAGCAACACAGGGAAGTCTGACACCAGAAAAAAGTACTTAAGTACGATTTTAATTGTTGTAGTTATAGCACTGACATTACCATGACATCACTTACGACTAATGGAACTAAGGAACTAGTTTGAGTTGATTTCTGAAGTCTTGGCTGCATTTGGGGAAAAGGGACGACAGGTCAGCAACTGACATGGGTGAAGGTTTGATTAATACTTAGATTTCCCCAGGAAATTATGAGAAATCCATATTGAGAGAATTCTAGTTACTTTAGCAGTCAAAGGATGGGGGAAAAATGCCAGAAAGTTATCAGGAAAGTAATAAAATATCAGCTATTGGACATGATGGGGAAAGAGTATATATACAGATGTGTATACATGAGTGTGTGCAAAATGCCACATCCTAACGACAAAAAAATTAAAACTCCAGTGGTCATGTTATAAATGCTTATTTAAACATCTCATTTGCCCCTCTTGATAACTTTCTATTAAACCAGGACTAAATACATCAGGCAGTCTCAAATAATAAGATTTATTTTCCTATCTTCATTGATGATAGAAGGAAAAGGATACAAAGACATCATTAAAAGAAATTAATGAAAAAGTAGAACAACTTCAGGGGTCTGGCATGAAATTAGTAGAAATGTAGTCTGGTTTCCTATAGATAGGAAATACAGGAGTGGGATCATAGGATGCATATTAGGTAGGAGGGAAGCTGGAAAGAATAGATGAGACCAAATTAAATACAGATTGAGGAATCGGTACTTATGTAGACACCAGGGTGCCACTAGACATGTTTTGAGTAGAAGGGTGGTCTGATTACGTGACTAGAGCCAGCTATGTTTCCAGGATGGAAATATGGAAGCACAGTTTGTAGAACAGACTGGAGTAGGGAGAGTCAAGACCAGAGCCAACCGTCTAGGTGAAAAGATAACGAGAGTAGGAATTTAATATAGTGGTGGTGAAAATGGAAATGTGGAGGCAGTTATAAGAGAGAAAATATGCATTTTGTGAATGGAAGGTAAGATAACTGTTGAACAGAATGTTAGACTCATTGAAGTACTTTGCCCAACCTGGATAGGCTGTTTTCATGAAAAGTGGTGTGATTCTCTCTTCTGTGGATGTTAAAGGTGCCAGTGGGTCTTCTGCTCCAGTTTTGCTGGGGAACAGTTGCATCGATATTTGTTGTAACAAGAACTACCTGTCGTGGGAGATATAAAGTAGGTGGTTTCTCAACAGAGAGAATCGCAGGGTCACCCTGAAGTGTAAGCTGCTTGCTAAGTGATTGATTCCAAACTAGGAGAACTGGCTTCTAGATTCCTTTTTTTTTTCCCCTAATCGTGTTACTTTAAAGTCATTTGTTCTCTCTCAGTGCCAGTCTCTTCATCTGTAAGTGAGAATGATTCCAGGCCTGCCTGAAGTTGGAGGGCTTGGCATCCCTCCCAGCTCTGCGTCTGTGATTCACACAGCTTCCCGTTTTTATTGGAAGGGGGTCTGGAAATTTACTCCAGCCTTCACATTTAAATACACACTAAAGAAACATCCTTAGGACTACTTTGGGATTTGATTGCGAAAAGACCACTGTAATGAAGTCCTCTGTACTATGACAGGTTTAAGCATGAGTTTCTTTTTCTATGTCATTGATGTAGGAGATAGGAAATCTGAAGAACCTGCTGTGCTTAGATGTCTCTGAAAACAGGTTGGAAAGACTTCCTGAAGAAATCAGTGGCCTGACTTCATTAACGGATTTAGTCATTTCCCAGAACTTACTAGAAGCGATTCCGGATGGCATCGGTAAGTATTGACAATAACTGACTACTGAAGGTGCTGGCTGTGCTCGGTCACATGGGGCATGCTCTGATCCTTTGGTTACTGCTGTCAGGTGCTGGGGATGTGGCTCCCTCAGTCGCCTCAGTGTTTGTTTTAAAAGAAGGAATGCAAAGGGTATTGAATACAATTTAAGTTTCTCTATATGCAAGTATCTCTGTCGTCTGGTTTGGTAGCAATTATAGGTATTATTACTTATGAGTTGTTCACTCATATCTCTTTCATCTGCATCTTGTCCCAATGATTTCAGTAGAGATTAGCCCAAATAATAGAATGTGTTTCAAGCCTATGAGCAATCACTAAGAAATTTCTCATTGAGCATCCTAAATAGTTTATGAGAAAGTAACTTTGACCTTATTGCATGACTAGGGAAGGGCTGTTATGGGCAGGATGGTGTGCTTGGGTTGAGCCTTTTCTAGCACATTGTGAATAATCTTTTTCCTTTAATCATCCTATGCTATTTCCTTTAACGAAAAAATTAGTCCAGACATTTCCTTTATCATGAAGGAGTTCAGTCCAGTGTGAGAAAATAAACTCAAACCGAGAAGGTATAAACAGACGTGGACTGGCAGCTCCATGTCTGCAAAGCCGCTTAGAAATTGTCAGAAACTATATTTAACCGTATAGGTGTCGTAGGATTGTTGTCTTTGACCTTCATTTAACTTTTATTCAAAACTTCAAAGGAAGTTTTTGCAAGATTTTCAGTAGTTGTGGATGCTGTATGACAGAGGACCACTTCCTTTCTGGTGTTTGGTCAAGATGCAGGTAGCAACTGGTCGTAGGGCTCGGCAGGAGTGCACACTCTGCCTTTTGTTCAGGTTAGTTGGAATATCGATGGGGAGTCTGACTCGTGGTAGAAATGTTCACTGCCAGTCATAGATGGCATCTGAGAGCAGCTGTGGGAACTGGGGGTGTTTTGTTGCTTGGAATAGGAAGAAGTAGGAGGCCTGAGAGGGCTGACTTGAAGTATTTGAAAGGCTGTCAGGTAGAAGGAGGATGCGATTTATTACACCTTCTAGTTCATTTGGGTGAGATGAAAGGACTGTAAGTCTCAATTTGATTTAAGAAAGAGCTTTAAAAAGATATTTGTTACAAATGAGTTTGGGCTGCTTAGTAAAGAAATGAGTACCCTGTCTCCAGAAGTATTCAAGGAGAGACTGCAGGAACACTTGCCAGTAATATTGTTAAGGAGACTCCTCTGTTGGGGTGAGACGTGTTGGTGTATGACTCAGCGTGCCCAGTGGAGAATGCTCACGCGGCTCCTGTCCCTGAGGACAGGTGGAAACCCTCTGGGGCAGCGTTAGTGGGTTATTGATTGTGCTAAGTAAAGAGCTTAAGAGCCAGTTAGTTCTGCCTTGCCCTGTGACTGCACACCAGGCAAGTTAATCCTTTCAGCGTTTCCCTTTCTCCAGCTTTATGTCTCTTTTAAGATGGAGCCTGTTTTCTGATTTTACTGGACAGAGTGTCATCATGCCAGCCGCTCTCAGGAGGTAACAGAGGACATCTGCTCTGTAGACTCTGTCCCCTGAGCTGTGGTTGAAAATGAGAATCTGAATGGTTTAGGATTTCTTTCGCTCAGTGGGGACTCTGAAGAGGCTGCAGTAAACCATACTTCTTTTCCGGGGCTTGAGGGCATCACCAGTCCATCCAGTCTTCTTGCCCTGAGTGAAATAGACTCAGTCCTTACTATGGCTTTTCGTAGATTACCATCTCATTCTGCACATATAGAAATACTTCATTATAGGGATCTTCACTGAGTCATTTCCATTCATAGGTGGTAGAATAAACTACACTTACTGTTTTTGTTTTTAGTAAGGATGATTCTTGGAGTAAGACAAAAGTCTCTCCTCTGTTCATGAAACATCTCCCATCCTTAAAGATCCTTCAAGAGCCAGGTGTTTGTTTTTCTTTAAATTTTCTGGCTTTGATATATTTTTAGGTAGTGACTTTTTAAATGATTTGCTTCTAATTGCTGACTGTTTTTGATGTTCTGAACAAATTATTTTGACTCTCAACTTTTAGTGATCTAAATGAGAATGATATAATTTCATAATGTGGAAAGCTGGGTGAGGGAGAAAAATGAGTAACTATTAAAAACAAAAAGAACAGCAGATGGGAAATACCAAGTGATGGTTAGGAAAACAATTGTAGCTAATGAATTTAAATAATCCTTTTACAGGAAAACTGAAGAAACTGTCGATCTTGAAGGTGGATCAGAACAGACTCGCACAGCTGCCTGAGGCCGTCGGGGACTGTGAAAGCCTCACGGAACTAGTTCTCACCGAGAACCAGCTCCTGGTGCGTGTGGTCTGTGCGTGCAGACGGGTGTTGATAGTGTGGCTTCTAGATCATAAGGCTTATTAAGGTCGATTCTACTCATTTGTAGTTTGGGTGGACTAAATGGAAATTTCCTTATGTTATATCTACAAAAGGGACTTGGGAGGCAAATGCATGATGTCAAGATGAGCTCCCCTGTCAGAGTGTGGCTCCTACTTGTGTGCTTCCAGGACAGGGACTGAACCGTCTCTTCACGGAGGTCCCAGTGAGTGTAGGGGTACACTGCCGTGGGTGGAGTGCTGCTGCCTCTGCCGTGGTGTCCAGCCCACCGGAGGAAACGTCGTTTTCTCTGGGTTCTCGAGCAAATGGGAAGAGTGAGAGAAGAGGTGGAATGCTGGCTGGCCAGGGAGAGCCTTGGTGGCACTGGGGAGGAATGCTCCTTGGTGGGGAGCTGGGGAGTGGTATCCGGTGGGCTTTGAGCTTTGATCTCACCTCATCCCGGAAACTGGCTGGAGGTGGCTGCGCCTTCGGATGCAGCCTCCCCGTCCTACCAAGGGCCAGGCCTGGGCCTGCACCACCTCCCAGGGTAAGTTAGCAGGTGATGGCGAGTCTCACTTGCCTGCTCACTTCCAGCTGCTTCCTCAGTCCTTCGTTTATCACTTCATCTTCTCCTTTTCTCCTCTCTGTCTGGTAGCTGCTATTCCTTTTCAGTTTACTTTCCCACCTTTCTCTCTTCTCTGTCTTCATTTTGTCACTTTATTTTCCCTCCTACTTTCCTTCTCCTTTTTCCTCTTTCTTTCCTTTTCTTCTTTCTGTATAAAAAGATTAAGTAATGCTTTTTGGATGAAAAGAGCAGAAAAAGACAGCGAGAGTGGACCGAGGACGCAGAGCTGATGGGGAGGCTGGCAGCGTCCCTCCTCAGGTGGCCCCAGCAGCCTCCTCTGGCAGGTGCGATGGGAGAGACCAAGTCCTCTCGGCCTGGTCTGTGGTTTTAGGCTTACAAGTCGTAATCATAACAATTTTAAAAATAACCGTCACCCTTGGATTCCGTGAGAGTGTTGAAGACCCCCCGTGGGCCCCGGCCTGGCTCCTGCAGGGCCCTGCTCCCCACGCCAGCCCTGTCTCTTCCCCCGGCCTCACAGCACCCTGCCCAGGTTCTGATTCCCGCCCCAGCTCTGGCTTCCACAGTCATCTGACGACCACCTCAGCGTGGCTCTCGAAGGTGCAGGCAGGGAAGGGATGTATCTCGAGGGTGCAGAGTCTCACTCCTTGAGTTAAAGAGCCTTCGTTACCTCTTTAACAGGTGTATCTTTGTTCCTGGGTTGTACATTTGGCTTCATTTCATTGAAGCATACTCTCATTTCAACAAAGATGCAAAATATTTAATTCCACATCCCCCAAGTGAGCTTTAAAAAATCTGATATTCAGGAAGAACTATTACTTTTCTTTCAGGATGAGATTATATTCTTTAAGTCCTTGAAAAGATCTGTTTTACTGTGAGCCATGTTAAAAAAATATGTTAAATTAATAATAAAAATGTTATTTTAACAGACCTTACCTAAGAGCATTGGAAAACTTAAGAAGTTGAGCAACTTGAATGCAGACAGAAATAAATTAGTGTCTTTACCAAAAGAGGTATGTGCTTAAAAAAAATCTAATAATAATTATAAAGAAATAATAACAAGGGATCAAAAATGTCAAATACTTGAAAAGACTTATGTGGTACTTTTTACAAGTATGAACCCTCATCTATGAGTATAGAGATGGTTGGAGGAATTATACCAAAGAATGGTCATCAGTAACATTAAAGACAGTCGGTGGTCCCTATGACTGGGAGCAGTGCCGGGAAAAGTGCACTGATAGGTTTTTAAATGGGAGAAAGGGAGAGATTGACGTTTTGGGCTTGACGTACAGCGAATGGTGACATCATTGACAGAAACGGGGAGTTTGGCAGAGGAAGTGGATGACTTTGAGTTTAATGTGACATTAAACTGTCCCAGAAGCCATTGGAATTATAAAAATGAGATGCTCTTGATGCAGCCCTGTTCCTGGGTGGAGACTGACACCAGGCAGTGTTCGTGTCTGGGAGAGGGAAGGAACTCTTCACAAGGCATTCACGTAGAGGAAGGCAAATGGGAAGCTGTAGTCAGATTCGTAGGATTTTTTTTGCCAATGCTCCAAGCAGGAGAGAAGACGACTGTCACCATCCACTGTGGAGAGTAGCTGTGTGGACTTAGAGGTGTGTAAGTTCTGTCCGGGGAAGTGAAGATGCCGAGGATGAGGAGGAAGCCCACAGTGGATCAAACAAGGAGGCAGCTAGTGCATTGTTTAAAGAGAAGGCATACTTTCTGTTTGGAACTAGGAGAAGTTGATTAGAGCTGGGTAGTACTAAGCTGGGTTTTTGTATTAGCAGTAAAGCCTAAAACTAAGTTTAAACCATCTCTCTCTCCCCGCCCCCCTACCCCCGCCATCAAATGAGCTGTCAGTGAGCCCCTCCCCTCTGCGGGGCCTCACCTGAAAAAGGTGTGGTGTTGTATGATATGATCGCTGGCCAGGTGCAGTTTCCTTTGTATTGCCCTGTTTTGACCCTTTCCAACATCTGTCTTGGAATAATTTCAAAGCTGCCATCCAACCAATCAGAACTGGAGGGCTTCTTACTTCTAGGGCACTACTCGGGGTGTCTGAACTTGGCCTGGTTTCTTCTTTCCTTTGGTCATCTTGGTGCTGTATCCTCCGTATCCCAGTCTTCTCCCTGGGGAAGACGGCCAGCGTTCCTGAGTGGAAACATGAGGATATTTATTATAAATGCGATTATATTCTGACACACGTTTAATCTGGATGCTGGTGTCTAAATAAAACTGTTACCTGCAGAACGACTTTAGTGTACATCTCAGCAAAGTTGGGACACAACTAAGAGGCTCTGCTAATCCGAATGTTTTGGTTCCAGTCTCTAAGTGATAAACCAAAACACAGAGCTGAATGTTATTCTGAACATTAATCTTCCTCTTGTTGAATAGCACGTGTAGCTGGGTAATGGATTGGACACACACAGAAGTAGAAAACATTTATGACTTTCGCTCTCAAAGCCATGTCCTGTACTAGGTGCTTTCATGTATGTTAACTCATTGAGTCCTCACAGCTTTTGAGGTCCTGAGGATTTCCTCATTGTATAGAGGAGGAAACTGAGGCCAGTGAGCAGCTTTCCTTACTAGGCCTCACACGGCTAGGAGTCGGTAGAAGTGGGTTCCAAAGATGTGTCTCCCGACGGCCAGCCCACTGCTCTTTCACTAGCCAGTGAAAGCTTGGCACCTCTGCTAATATGGCTTCAGCGTGACCTTTTCATCTGTGTGACCCTGAGGGACGGCAGGACCTTGGTTTGGTAAAGAAAGGTCAAATTATCTTTAGTGTGGGCATTTTAGAAACTTAATACATTTTAGGAATATTTTCAAGGTAAATGCCCTAGAGAGCACTTTTAAGTGTAGTGTTAATCCCCAGTAAGTTTCACCACCCACCCCCCGACTTCCCTCTTCCTCTCTTGATGCTCTCTTTCAAAGGAATACGTTCTCAACAAGAACTTGAGAATTCTGTTTTTGTAAATCCATCACCATGATTTTAACACCAGTCCTCTTTTACTTGAAGAGAGTGAAGCTTGTGCTCAGTGTTGCTGTTTAGAGGGTTATGAAGTGCGTGCTGTGTGTCCATATAAATTTACTAGAACAGCTTTTCATGATGTGAAAAGGGAAGGTATTGTGAAAATATTTCTAGCTTCAAGGCATTTTAGTTAGCTATCAGGTTTTATCCATTTCTGAGAAATTATGATTGGTTTTCTGGCATCTTGAGTTTTATAAAGGAATAAAGCCTGTGCCTTTTCCTTCAGCTGCCTGATAAAGCAGAGAATGTGTGGGCTTTTAGGAATCAGGTCTTTTCTATCTAGCACACCTTCACTCCTCCTCACACACACTCAGCTCCTGGAGTGGGAAATGCACTGAGCACACGTCTCCAGTTCTGCTGAGGGTCATGGCTTGGTGACCCCCGCAGAAATGGCTGAGTGCTTGCCTCTGACCATCGGGGCTGAGCAGCCAAACACCGAGGGCCTCCTGACCCCAAATGGTGTCATGTCCGTCTGGGCAGCACCGTGGTGCCGTGACTCTGCAGTGAGTGTGGTAGGCCCTGTGACCGAGTGTGTGTGTGTGTGTGTGTGTGTGTGTAGAGGGGATACCCGGTGACCGTGTATGTGCGCACGCTCGGCCTCCAAGCTTGATACCATTTGACCAAATCCTGCACTTTCCTGATTGGATTCTTTTCTTTCAAAACTTTTCTTCTTTCTCTTGGACAATTAAGTTGCATGCATGACGTAGCTAAACCGAAATGCTGACCAATTCAATTTATATGCCAAAAATTCATAGTTGTATTAATTGCCATTGGTCTGGTGTGCTGTGTAGTTCTTCCTATTTTTTGTCTTTTTTTTAATGTGGTAGTATTGTAGATTGTCAGTTTTATAGCACAGCTCCTTGGGCAATAGCATTTGTTTGCCTTTTTTTTTCCCAAATGGTTGAGGGGAAAATGTGTGTACTGTGTGGGTCACAATAATAGATGCTGTTTGTGTTTTGTGGTGTTATTCGTAGTGAACATTCACAAATCAATGAATGTCTCTTGTTTTCTTAATTGTTAGCTGCTTGGAAATTTAGAAAAGTCAGGTAAACTTGTTATCTTGTAAGTATTGTTCAGACCACAGTTGCATCTCTAACTTCCATTTTGCTTCGTAAATGCATGAAGATTCAAATTGGCTGACTGCTGTGTGTGTACTTCATTGTAAAATATTGGACATTTTCCTCTTAACTCGGCTTTTTTAAAATGACTGCATGGCCTGGAACCTTATTTTGTTATGTTTGTCAGATTTTTCTCTCTCATAAGAATGCTTTTCTGTGAGTTATGTTTTAAGTTATTCAGAAATTCTGAAAGACATAACTTGGCAGCTCACCTGTCTTCACTAAATTCTAGTGAATTTAATTTAGTGAATGCTAAGTTTGTCAGCATGATCCTCTCTCGAATGGAAAGGCTGGATCCACTTTATTTGCTACACGTGGCATGCTTCTGATTTTTCAAACCACTTATTTGTGTCTTTTATTTCCATCCTGTTGCTTAAGTATGTGTGCTTCTGGGAAAGGAGGTCCTCTAAAAGATTCCTATCTCGGTGGAGGGAAGAAGGAAGGAGCAGAGGCTGTGTTGCAGTGTGATTGGTGGAAGAGGGGTATGGTGTGCGTGTGATCGTGGGTATGATGGAAGAGAGCCAGTGACTTCATACTTTTCCCCAGCAAGATCTTCCCTTTAAACAACTTCCATCAGAAAGAGTTTCCAGCTGGAAGAAATTGAGCATATATCCAATTTTAGAGTCCAGGCTTTTGTCTCTATTAAGTCGAAATGAAAGTGACCCTAACTACATCCCACCCACCCAATCAAATGAGACATGATAGGATTTGGAGATCGTTCATCAAAGCTTTTATCAGGCAATCTGTGAACATTAATTACCCATAAATACTAATTGTGATATTCAGAAGTGTCTGTGGTGAGAGAGTATTCATTTTGTGGGTAGCTTTCTGCCTTCTTATTATTTTAAAATTCTTTTTTAAAGATGTGAGTTCCCATCGTATTCTAAAATGAATTATTGATAAATAAAAGTGATAATATAAAATAAAACCTAAAAATATTAGAACAAAATAGTTGACCATTGGATTTCAGGATGGAGAAGGCATTCCTCAACTTGAAAGAAGAAATAAGTCATAAAAGACGCAGTTAATGGGTTTGTCTACTTGAAAGTTAGATTTCTGATCTTCGAGAGGGTAAGGACAGCCTGCGGGCAGGGCACATCACAGACGAAGGAGGTCTCTCCTTCTCTATTAGAAATTCTTTCACATCATTGAGAAAAAAGGTGTACCCACTGTAGAAAAATGGACAAAAATAAAAGCTAAGAACCCCCCACAAAAACCAATAAGTGGTTCGTAGGAGAAAAAATAGAAATGGCTATTAATGTGAAAAAATTGTAGCCCTGTCATTATTCACAAAAATGTTAAAGCATTTTCACCTATCAAATTTTCAAAATTTAAAAAAAAATACTATACCAAATATTGGTGAGAGTACAGGAAAGTACATATTGTCATGGAAGTATAAATTATTTTGGCTTCTGTGGAAGGGAATATGGTACTAGTATTAAAAACTTTAAAAATGTGCATGCCCTTTGATTCTGCAGTTCCACTTCTGGGAATTTATCCTAAGAAAACAATTATGGATATACACTAAGAATGATGCGTAAGAATATTTTTCTCAGTACCTATAGGAACAGCTAACTTGTTGTAGGCGCCATGCCAGATATGTACAGGGGCTGCTAACATGTGCCAGGGGCTGCTAACATGTGCCAGGCACTGCACCAAGTGCTTTAGTGCTTACTGGTGTCTAATTGTCACACGGTTCTATGAGGTGTAGCTAAATCATTATCAACATCCAACAGATTGTGAAACTAAGACTCAGAGAACTTAAGTAACTTACCCAAGATCACACTGCAAAGAAATGACAGAACCTATTAGCAGCATCTAATATGGACGATTTATTGAGTAGTCTGTGACACATCTGTAGAATGAAATAATTATGTGGTCAATAAGAATCCTTTTAGAAACATAATGACATGGGAAAACGTTTTTGATGTCGTGTAAACAAAAATGCTAAAGATTATAGTGTTGGTCCTAATTTTGTTCAAGTGTATGTGTATAATCACAAATGCCTGGCAATAATACTGAAAGAATTTACCTCAAAATGTTAATACCGGTTATCCCTCTGTGGTAGGATTTGGTTTAAGTTATGTTTTCATTGTACTTTGTGTGTGTGTGTGGTTTTTATTTTTCAGTCAACCTGAGTTACTTTTTTATGATTAGAAAAGAAGAATGCCATAGCTATCAGTGGATATTTTGATGTCAGTGGCCCAACAGTTCAACGAGTCGCAAAGCCACATGACTTCCAAAATATTCATGAAGTAGGGAACATTTGAATAATATGCCACAGATGATGATGGGAAAGGCAAAAATAGTCTTTGGTTTCTAAAATTACACATCGTATTATTTCTCTTCAAGCTGTATTTTGACCAGATTTTCTTATTGTATATTTTCCTTTTTGCGGATGAAATGTGGGTTCAGTTCTGTTACAAATAATATTGGAAGGAAGATACTGAAGGAAAATGAAAGTTCCTTTGCACTTTAGGGCAGGCATTCCTGAAGTGGAATGTAGATAGACAAAAGTGACTAATACAGGCTTTTTCTTTTAATCTGTCTGATTATCTCCTCTGGGGTGCTGTCACCTGCAGGCAATTAATACTTGTGAAGGTTGACCTGACTACAGGTTTGCCCTGTGACCTGCAGGTCCCTTCTCCTTGAGATGGATTAGATCAGTGCCAAACAGTTAAGGATGCTGTCATCTGGAATTAAGAGACACAGAACAGCCAAGCAAGCATTCCCAGCCACTTTCTGTAATTCTGAGAATCCGAGTCCAACCCCTTGTATTCTGGGAAGGTGCTATTATGTGGTTGAAGAAAGTTTAAAAATATCAGCCTCCTACGTAACTGGTAATAAGTTATTTAAACAGTAACCGTGCTTCCCAGAATTTCTAAGTGATATAGACCTTTTATCCTGATGACCACTAAGGAACCTGTAAACTCTACCTCCTGAACCCAAAAGAAAGCAAAAACACCTAGGATGTATAATACAATACTGAACTCAGGTCAGTTCTTCACTATTATTAACACGAAATGTCATGGTGATACCTTGTCAGGGAGACAGTTTTTTAAAAGCAGTTCAGGTGCGTTCAGGGAAGAGCTGGCCAGCGTCGGCAGACTTCCAGCAACATAGCAGGCCCTCAAGTGTTGACTGAACTCATCCTTTCCAGCTGGGATTTTCACTTCTTGGAAAAACAATAGTTACCACATTTATTTGGCAGCAGCAATAGGCCAGGTTCTATGATAGTCACTAAATTATATATGTGGTTTCATTTAATTTAATCCTTATTGTTACTTTTGGTTAAAGTAACATATCCGAACCCACAAAACATGTGACCAAGAGTCTAACTCAGGTCTGTGTCATCTCAAGGCCTCCACTCCCTCCCTTGTACCGCATTCTCCTCTGACGTCTATAAAGAACCGTATCTTTTGAGTTACGGTTTGGACTGCGTAGTAATAATCTTTTCTAAAAGCCAAAAGTCCCAGCCGTCTCTTCCCGGCTGATCTGGACAGAGGGCTCTGTTTGTGTGAGGTTTGCCTGGGACAGCACGTGCCTGTGACGGGTGATCAGGGCGTCCCTAGCAGCTCTGCAGCAACACGCTCCCTTGGTTGGTGTTGTTTTCCAAAAGCCGCAGACAATAGAGATCAGAGGTCACTCTGCCTGTGTTGACAACCCAGAGAGCCTGGGAGGCTTTAATACAATTGCTTTCCACCCCTTGGCGTCTCAAATGGGTGTAAGATTAGAGTGGAAAAGGACAAAGAAAAAAATAAATGAGGCCATAAACACAGTTGACAGCTCACACACTCCACTGGGAGTTCACATTATTTCCCCTAAAATACTTAAGGGATGTTAACTCCTCCAGAACTTTTATTGTTCTGACAACTTTGAGAGCCCTCTCTGACCCACTTTAATTAGTTAATGAATTCATTTTTTTTGAATGGATACTATATGCACGTGATACAAATTGGAAATATTCTCATGGTATAGTAGTAGGGCCCAAAAACAGATATTCTACAGGTGGCTGGGGCAGTGGACAGCTTCATGACAAAGTGCCCAGAATACACTCACCCTGTAGGAGCTTATTGTCCCACCACAAGGGCCATGTGTGTGAATAACTGATGTTGTCTGCTTTGCCTCCCTGGGAACAGATAAATCCTTCTCTTCAAAGCCAGGCTGGGATGGCAGAGTTGAAGCGTGTCCAGCCTCAGCCACGTGCTGACCTGGAAGGCCTCCCTCATGGCTCGCAGGCCCATCACTGAACCCTGACCCCAGTGCAGGTACCCTCCATGTGGAGAGGGGTCGTGGGAGGAGGGAGTCCACTCCATGAGGACCTTGGGTATTCCTTCCCATGAGTAGATCTTTATTGGGATCATCTACATTTATCAGCAAGGATCTAATCATGTCAATCCTCAAAAGATTCAGGGTTTTGATTCCTTTCCTTCCTTGATATTCCTGAGCACCTGAGTAAAAGTGATGATTCCCTTCTTCAAGGGAAGGAAGAATGCCAACCCCCCAAAAGATTCTGTCACACGTCTCTTTAGGACGCGATATTGGGGCCCTATATTTATAAAACATGAGAGGCCACTCTATTGATTCGTAGCAGAAACAAGAAGAGTTTTGTGGTCTCCACTGATACACATAGAAGCAGATAGATAATAACTTTAGTAGCAGCCTTTCGTAGTAAGTAAATAAATAAATAGAAGTGTATAGACATAGCTAAATGAGCAGTGTTGGTAGGTAGATAGGCTTCACTGTGGGTAGACAGGATGGGTCCCGTTCTTGCCAAGCACCCTGAGTACATGTAAACTTGCAAATTAAACGGTAGGTCAGCCAAATGACCTGTCAGAGGGTTTGTGTAGACTATAATTATGAAGGAAACACAGAGAGCAATGTGTCAATATGGACCACTGGGTTCTGGGGAGACTTTATGGAGTGGAGGATGTTTAGCTAATTTTGGATGATTGGTGAGATTTAGAAAGACAGAAAGAAGAGAGCATTTCTGTGAGAAATGGTGGACCGAGAATGCAATATGCATTTTAGAGGGCAGTGAATAAACCAGTTTTGCTGGAATAGGAAACATGAATACTGAGAAATAAGGGGACACTACATATCCAGGTGTTTTCCAGGTGACCAGAGATGAATGTTAGTTCATGTTGTCTTATATGTTTTTCTTTTACAGGCATTATGGTTAAATGTTGTGGTTAAATATATTATTTCCAAATCTTTATATTAACTCCTAAGGGAAGACATAATAAGATTGTGCATGAAGGTAATTATGTAGCTATTTCATAAATATAGATTCTGCTTATAAAGATATATACGTGTATTAAACACGTATATAAATAGCAAAGGGCAGAAGATACATTCAGATATCACTGAAGATTCAGGCCTCTTGCCCCTCCTCAACTGGGGGCTCTGGAGTATTTTTCCATGTGTCAGAGAGACGTCAATAGGTTCCTTCATGAGCCATTTCCAGCAATTGCTCTTAGGATAGGAGCGCAAGAAGACTGTGGTCCTGTACGGAGTCCTGCAGAGTGTTGTGTCTGCGATCAAGTTATGTTTCCACCCCCTTGGTTCAGCTTTCCTAACTGTAGAAACCACAGCCAATTTGTTCAAGAGAATCGTTGAATTCTTTTGTGTTTACTTTCTTTTTTGAGGACCAGACTCATGCAAACCTCAGTTACCTTTGCTTGCTTAAAAAAAACAAAAAGAAATGGTAATCGAATTTGGTGTTGGTGCAGGGATTGACATGCTTTTACCAGCAGGTCGTGGCCAAGGAGGTTAATGTATGTATTCACTGAATTCACTTTTTGCTAAAATATTATTGATTTTGTGTTTTTCAAATGAAAATGAATTTCCAATTAAGTTGTGAATAACCAAAAGCTATTAAAAGATGTATGATGGAAATTAATGTGCTATATCATCTATCAGATGGTCCTTTTTTTTTTTTTTTTTTTTTAATAAATTGGAAAGCTGACAACACTGAAGTTAATATAATGGGCAGATCTTCACAGGTGTGTGTGTGTGTGTTTGTGTGATCATGATCGTGATTGTGATCTTTGGCCTAACTTTTGAAACCTAGACTTCTTAAACTCCCATATTACCAAGTAATATTTGTCCAGACCTGTGTAACTTTATTAACATATTTAAAAAATGCAATTGCATTGGATAGTAGTGGAAAATGACTTTCTTTTCAGAATGAAAATTTTGAACTGTATTGTTTATTTCCTTGATTTAATTTAGAACGTGTGTTTAATATTGCAGAGATTTTTATGAACTTACTGGACTACTCAGTGTTTTGTATGATTTAAGTTAATCATAGTTGGTCATCAGTGAGACTTAAAATCATGTGGTATAATTTTATGCGTCCTTTTCATGCCATTTGATAAGCAAGATACTCCAGTCCCACCTTCATCTCCCAAAAAACCTGGAAAAAAGATGTCGTTTCTTTCTCATTGTAGATTGGCGGGTGCTGCGGCCTCACCGTGTTCTGTGTGCGTGACAACAGACTAAGCCGGATACCTGCAGAGGTGTCGCAGGCCACAGAGCTTCACGTCCTGGATGTGGCAGGGAACAGGTAAGCATGTTCTGGTTTGCTTTGCTTGAGAGAAAGAGACAAATATTCATCCTCCCTCACCGTTGCCGTGCATCTCTGCTGTCTTGCCTTTGCCGCATCTTATAGGATAAGCGCCGACTAGTTGAGCGACCCAGCCCCAGCAAATTCTTGGTCTAGGAGCTAGAGTGATTGAGCCTGTACAGGGAGACGGTCAGGGACGGCCTGAGGGTCAGGCGCTTTCAAGTTCAAGTGGACGCGTCTGTAGAAAGGCTTCCCAGAGCAGCAGTAGAGTGAGGCAGTGGTGTGAGCGAAGGAGCACAGCTTGAGGACAGAGACTTAGGTCTCACCTGAGCTTTTATCACTAGTTTCCCTGTGTCATCGTGGGCCTCGGGGTTTCCTCATCAAAAAATGAGCTGAGTGAGTCTGAGCTAGCTTTTAACCAGGGTCCTGATAATGCTCTCCTCATGGTGCTGAACCCCTGAAATTGTAAACAAAATTGTATTCAGGGACACTTCTCTTGAGAGGATCTACAGCTAATGTCAGAATCGCCAAGTGATTCGTAATCCAAAAAAGAAAAAAATGAGCCAGCCTGGCATCTCCAAGGTCACAGCAGTACCATTTCTCAAGTCCTAGAGTCAGAAGTCATGCTGGATGCTCCCCAGTCTGGAGTATGCTTTCTCTTCACTTTGCAGAATATAGATTTGTTTCAGCCATTCTGAGCTAATTTCATCAGCTCAGATGTCGTCTGTACTTTCTTGCCCCTGAGCCTACACAAGCTGTTCTTTCTACCTGGGACCCTCTTCTCTGTCACCCTACTTTTGTTCTTCATAACTCTTGCTTTTATTTTCTCCAGGAAGCTGCTTCTCTCTGAGTCTGCATTTTTTAATTACCCCTAATGTAGCACCCACAGCACCACAGGATAACTGCCTGTTTACATGTGTGTAACCCCCTAAACCTGAAGTCATCTAAAGTTAGATATTATGGTTTATGTGTCACTACGTCATTTGTCCCTTCACAGTGCCTGGCATGTGATAGATGCCTGGTAAATATTTGTCGACCGAATGAAAAGGTTAAAAATGTTAGTTTTGCAGAATGAACAGCATGCTACTGCAAAGCGCCTTGTATCACAGGCTGCATCGCTAAAAGGAATTAAAAAAATGCTCTGAGTGTTATATAGTTAGATAGGAGAGAAAGTGCTCAACGCGGGGAGGGTGAGCGATGATTGTGAATGGTAAATATTACTACCAACAGTCTGAAGAGCATTTGGGGGATTGCGTCCCCCTGCCGATTAGCTGGTCACTTAGGTCGGGCATAGGCCGCCATTTTTCACTCTAGCTAATGGATTGTGGACAGCAGCGCCAAATAAACAGCAGCACTCAGCCGGCATCTGGTGTTGAGTTATGGCCTCAGGGAGTGCTCACCTTTTTAAGGTTAATGCTTTCAGGACATCTTGATAGATTCTTCAGGCCACTAACTGCTTACTGGGAACTCGGGATGAATTGGAGTTGGATGTTGAGTTTCTGCTGGACTAAGCCTAACTGGAGACTTAGAGCTTGAGAAGCGCAGTTCTTCCCTGACCTCTCACCTCCAGCACCAGAAACTCAGTGACCCAGACCGCCCCTGGTTCCTGCCACACTGCTGAGTGTGGATTCGCATCCTGAATTCTGGAGTGGAAAGATGGCTCAGATGTCTCAAGACTGTTTTTCACATGAATGAAAGCCCCATTCTCCAGTTCTTGGAAGAAGAGAAAGTTAATTTTTCATTATGCTTGGGCCAGGGTGGAGAAAACCCAATTAAAAAGTTGAGTTACATAGCTGTCATCTGAGTCAGTTAAGTGTGTCATTTAGTTCATGTATATGTAGATTCATAACTAAACTTTAAGCCTATTAAAATATTTAATTACTACTTATTTAAAGTATCAGTATAGAAACTAATAAAAGAAAGGCTCCCATATCAGCTTTTTAGCTTGCAGAAATGTCGCTCCTTGGGAGATACCAAACAACAGAAGTTTCTGCCTCTTCTCTCAAGCATATAGAAATAGCAAATGACAGGGGCTGGCCCAGTGGCGCAAGCGGTTAAGTGCGTGTGCTCCGCTGTGGCGGCCTGGGGTTCGCTGGTTCGGATCCTGGGCACGCACCAACGCACTGCTTGGCAAGCCATGCTGTGGCGGTGTCCCATGTGGAGTGGAGGAAGATGGGCACAGATGTTAGCCCAGGGCCAGTTTTCCTCAGCAAAAAAAGAGAAGGATTGGCAGATGTTAGCACAGGGCTAATCTCCTCACCAAAAAAAAAAAACAAAAGAAATAGCAAATGGCATGGGGAGACTACATGTTAGGTTCCAAAAACTTTCTTTGACGTGTTGGATAGGATAAATTATAGCAAGGATAACAATAAAATGCCACTTGGAAACTAAGTATCAAACCTGCTGTTACAGTAATGGATTTGGTGTCTTGTGTCATCAGCTCCCCACGATCACAGAATACGCGTTTCCTCAATTCTTAGTCTCTGTCCCATAGGAATATCCACCAAGTACACAAAATCGGGTGTTTGAGGATCTTCCTTTCAGTATTAGTAGTACCAGATACAAGAAAAAATGGCTGTCAATGTGGAAAGAGTTTATACCTTTGAATTTTATAATCCAAAAAATTAAAAAAATATTAAAAGATATGACCTCACCCCCGTTAGGATGGCTATTATCAAGAAGACGGGAGATAACAAGTGTTGGCTAGGATGTGGAGAAGAGGGAACCCACGTGCACTGCTGGTGGGAATGTAAAATGGTGCAGCCACTATGGAAAACAGTATGAAAGTTCCTCAAAAAATTAAAAACAGAACCACCAGATGATTTGGCAATCCCACTTCTGGGTATATTTCCAAAGGAATAGAAATCAGGATCTTGAAGAGATATCTGCACTCCCATGTTCATTGCAGTATTACTCACGATAGCCAAGATAAGGAAGCCACCTAAGCATCCATCAACAGATGATAATGGATAAAGAAGATGTGGTATATATATAATGGAATATTATTTAGCCGTGAGAAAGAAGGAGATCCTGCCATTTACGACAACGTGATGGACTTTGAGGGTGTTATGCGTGAAATAAATGAGACAGGGAAAGACAAGTGTTGTATGATCTCGCTTATATGTGGAATCAAAAAAAGGAGAATTCATAGGAACAGAGTCTAGAATGGTGGTTGCCAGGGGTTAGGGGGTGGGGGAAATGGGGAGATGTCAGTCAAAGGGTACAAACTTCCAGTTATAAGATGAGTAAGTTCTGGGGATCTAATGTACAGCATAGTGACTATAGTTAACAATACTGTATTATATCCTTAAAAGTTGCTAAGAGAGTAGATCTTAAATGTTCTTACATACAAAACGGTAATTATGTGAGGTGATAGAGGTGTTAACTAAGCCGACTGTGGTAATCATTTCACAATATATACGTGTATCAAATCATCGTGTTGTATGCCTTAAACTTACACAGTGTTCTGTTAATTATATCTCAGTAAAGCTGGAAAAAAATAAAAAAATATTAAAAGACAAAACACAGCACAGCAGTGTGCCATACTGTGGAATACCAAGCAGTTAAAGAATGAGAAATTTCTCTGTGTAGTGACGCGGAAGGAGGCCCATGATACTGAGTGAAAAGAGCAAGTGTTGAACATAACGTAGCGCTCTTATTGTTTTATTTTTAAAAAAACTTATCCATGTGGTACACAGAATATTCATAGTAGTTCCCTTAGAGGCAGGCCAGAGACTTGAGGTTACAGGGGCTTTCTCTTCAGATATTTTGGTATTGTGTAAATTTTTTCACGGATTATGTTCTCTATATATATCTTTAAACATTTTTGAAAACTTGGCTTAAAACTAAAAATTCTAGGAGGAAGTAACAGACAGATGGAACACTGAGTTGTAGGAAGTCTTCACCCGTAGATGAGGTTAGTATCACGCTGATCAGTGGGCGTTCATAGTTGTTAAATGAACCTGACGGTGCTGTTGCTGTGGCGGGTCAGAGGTGGGGAGGCCACTTCAGGTCGGGTTGGTCGTGGATGTAAGTGGAAACGAGAGGCTCACGGTTTGGTTATTCATTTGCTTGAGTCCTTGTACCGTTGATGTAAATAGTAACCACAGGCTTTTTATTTCTGGGGGGAGGTAGTCCTAAATAGAACACGGAGATGTGTACAAATGGGGCTGTGGTTTCTTGTGTTGATTCTGTAGTGTACGGAAGGTACCAGAATAAACCAAAAGTGTATTATTAACTCCTCTGGAAAGCAGGAATAGATATATTTTTAATCTATTTTCCGACTTGTATGGGTGATGGTTCACCCAAGAGAGACAGAGGAGTGTGTGTCTTTTTCCCCAGGCCCCAGGAAGGTCAGCCCAGCCTGCGGAATCTCTGTGCAGACTGGGCAGAGACAGGGCCTTTTTTCTCTTTGACAGCACTGGGAACACCTCTGTCCACAAGACGCCCGTGAACTAGCTCACTGTGGGGTGTACTCAGTCAGCAGCAGCCATATTTAGCTGGCACTTGGATTCTTTGCAGGAAAACTGGTGTTTTAGACAACTCATTAATCTCACGTAGCTTGGTTGAGTGTGATTATAAAATTTGTTGTTATAGAGTCTAGTAATTTATTTGAGCTTTTCCCATATGATTTGTCGTCCTTAGAAGCTGTTATTTATTATTGATGCTCTGGTTAGCCTTTTATTTATACCTTTGCTTTAGCATTTAGCCGGGAAGCCAGTTATTAGTCTGAGAAGGTGTGATAACCATGTTGGAGTATCTGTGTTTTGTGCCAGCTGTCAAATCTTGATTTTTTTTTTTCCTTTATGCGCTCATGATTAAGAAAGTTAGAGATGCTGACTGTAGATTTCTTGGCCAAGACCTTGAAACCTTACACATTCTGGAGGATGTTAGCTTAACTCCTTTTTAAAAAGAAATAGGAACAAACTTTCAAAGGAAATTATCCTTTTATTCAGTAAAATGAAACAGAGTTTGTACTTTAAGCTTTCATGGTGTGTTACAATATTCTTTTAATAAATCCCTGTTACAGTGCCTGGCAAATACATGTCTCATGTCTTGAACTTCCTTGCATTTGAGTGTGTGTGTGTGACAGCCTTTGGGAAGAGGGAGAAATAATTTGTTGTTTAAGCATGAGAGATTTTACTTTCTATCCCACTCAATACCTCAGAATAAGGAGCAGTGGAGTCGTGAATTAACTGTTCCCTCAGATCTCCTCGGGCGTCCTTCTCATGCTATGAGCGTATTACTGCACTGGGTGGATTCTCAGATTTAAAGTACGTATTTCGGGGCCGACCCTGTGGCATAGTAGTTAATTGTGCGCGCTCCGCTGCTGTTGGCCCGGGTTCGGATCCCAGGCGCGCACCAACACACTTCTTGTCAGGCTATGCTGTGGCAGCGTCCCACATAAAATGGAGGAAGATGGGCACGGATGTTAGCTCAGGGCCAGGCTTCCTCAGCAAAAAGAGGATTGGCAGATGTTAGCTCAGGGCTGATCTTCCTCACAAAAAAAAAAAAAAAAACCACCATTTCTCAGCCAATTTGGCTCTCGTTAGTGAAATACTGTAGTGTGTAATCATAGAGTCTTTTCAGGAGTGCTTTAACGTATACGGTTCTCATGGAAGATTTAATGTCAGAACCTGACTCCCACATAAGGTGCCATTCCACTGCACTTCCCCAGTATGCGTGTGTGGGTGGATCAGCCTTTTCTGAACTCATTGTTAGGAAAAGAAGGTATTTTCTATCTCCATACCGAGTACATTGGAAATCTTTTGCAAAACATATTAGTTGTTCTTATGAAAAGTTTGTTAATGCATTTGTTAATATTTATGCACTCTTTGGTAATTTTTTACTTCATTTGTTAAAGTAACTTAACCAGTTTGTGCTTGCACTTCACTTAGACTAGTTTTACAATATTGGAGTACAGCTTCTCTTCACATCTCTACATAGAATTCCAGTTTGTTTCTCATAAGTCTGTCAATTCAAAATGGTATATATGTGTCTGATCATGCAATATGAATCTGTTGGTGAGCTGTGTAGGTAGATCTCCCACATATGTTAACTGGATATAGATGTACAATTTCATAAAAGAAAGAACCCCAGGAATATATGCTGTCATATAATTTCTTACAGAATTAATGGGCCAGAGATTTCTTTTAAGAAAATATGCCTCATATGGTAGTTAACAAAATGTGATTAGCTTATGAAGCTACTTCTAAGATTGATCCATAATTTAATATGTGAAGCCATCCTTAGAATAAAAATACTTGACCAAATGTAACCTTAGGTTCTTTAAACCTTAAATTCCTGGTATCTACAGAGATTCACTTGTTTTCAAAGTGAATTAGTAGACTTGCGTAAAGCATTGGTTTTTACTAAAGCAGCGTTTTTACCCTCCGCACTGGTAGCATTTTGGGCCAGGCAGTTCTCTGTTGTGGGGCTGTCCTATGCGTTGTAGGATGTTTAGCAACATCCCTGGCCTCTACCCACTAGATGCCACCCTAGAAATGTCTACAGACATTGCCAGATGTCCCCTAGGGGCAAAATCGCCCCTGGTTGAGAACCACTGCACTAAGTCATCTTTGGCAAGTACCAAGTACGTATGATTTCTGGAGGTGGTCTTTACTGAATAGATTTAACTGGTTGCAGCCAATCTGTTGAATATTTGTGCAAACAAAAATAAAAGTAATCTTTAGGTGTCACATTACAGATTTTAAAGTGCTTTAACATATACCATCTCCTTTGAAACTGAAACAATCTGATCTGGATATTAATTATCACGTAGGAGTCTGAGAAGTGGGAGCTTCTAGAAACTGAAAGATAAAAGTTTAAAATGGAATACCTAAAATAATCTCCCTAGAGAAAGCAAATGGAGTGCATGAAAAAAAAATTTTGATCTTTATTTTAACTGCAAATTAGACTCTTCGGCACCCCGAGCATCTCCTCCTCCTCGTCTTGAAAACAGGCGATCCCACGGCTTCGTACTAGCCCTGTCCGTGAGGCCGTTGCCATTAACTTAGTAAGGCCTCCGGCTTCTGGGTCCTTCCACAATTACACTGGCTTTTTTTTTTTCCTCTTTAAATTGAAACCTTCTAGTACAAGACTGACTAGTGTGTTCTGTAATTCCCTCCTTTTTTTGCCCTGAGGCCTGGAGGTGCTAATGAGAGAGGCGGGAGCAGAAAAGGGAAGCTCGGAACCTGCTGAAGAGTCTGCTTGCAAAGAGCAAATCAAGTGTCTTAAAAACATAGTGTTTTTTTTCATATTGACCCCAATCCCAACAGGTTGTTTTTAATTTTTTTTCTGTTTTTATTGACAGGAATTGATTTAATTGCAAAATTTGAGGCTCTGATGTCTCCTTTTGTTTGACATTAGGTTGTTGCACCTGCCTTTATCCCTAACCACCTTGAAGTTGAAGGCTCTGTGGTTATCTGACAACCAGTCCCAGCCTCTGCTCACGTTCCAGACAGACACAGACCACGCCACAGGAGAGAAGGTTTTAACCTGCGTCTTACTTCCTCAGCTGCCTTCTGAACCTACCTGCCCAGGTGAATTTAAGGACAGTGTTCACATGGCCACGAGAATTAGTAGGAGCTAATATCTGTCCTTAAGACCGCTTACTCCCACAGGTGACTGTGTTTTGTCTAATCTGCCCCGAGAGCCAGCCCAGGTGAGGTCATAGTGGGTCTCCTCTGGGAAAGTTCACCTTTGCATCTTTGCAGAACAGGTGCCGCTCAGACTTGTTTATCGTGTCTGAAATTCCTTAAATAGCATTCTGGTTTTGAACTGTAGCTGAGGCTAAAAATACAAATACTCCTAATAAAGGTAATAGCGTCATTTAAAATCCAAACTGATCATTTGGAGGATTAGTGTGGAATACCAGTGGCAAACTGTTTTTAAGCCAGAGAGTTGTTTTGAGTCATTGTACCTTTGTTTTGTAAATTATGTGTGGTTTTTACTGAATTTTTTTTTTTTTTTACTGAATTTTTTTTTTTTTTTTGTGAGGAAGATCAGCCCTGAGCTAACATCCATGCCAATCCTCCTCTTTTTGCTGAGGAAGACTGGCCCTGAGCTAACATCTGTTGCCAATCCTCATCCTTTTTTCCCCCAAAACTCCAGTAGATAGTTGCATGTCATAGTTGCACATCCTTCTGGTTGCTGTATGTGGGGCGCGGCCTCAGCATAGCCAGAGAAGCTGTCGTCAGTGTGTGCTCGGGATCCGAACCCGGGCCATCAGTAGTGGAACTTAGCGGTTAAGCTTAAGCCACGGGGCCGGTCCCTATGTTTGGTTTTTAAAAATATGCACACCAACATCAAATTGCTATTATAAGTCCTTTGTGGAGAGCTGGTTTTGATAAAAGAGAACTAGAGTGCTCTGGGAGAATGGGAGAAAGCCACCTTGCCAATCCCAGCCTTGTTAGATGAGCTTTTAAGACACCAAAAGAAAAATGTGGTAGAGTGTGTTACTAAGAAAAGTGCTAGTGGGACCGGCCTGGTGGCATAGTGGTTAAGTTCGTGTGGTCTGCTTCAGCAGCCTGGGGTTCACAGGTTTGGATTCCAGGCATGGACGCGTGCTCTGCTTGTCATGCCATGCTGTGGCAGGCATCCTACATATAAAGTAGAGGAAGATGGGCACAGATGTTAGCCCAGGGCCAATCTTCCTCAGCAAAAAGAGGAGGATTGGCAACAGGTGTTAGCTCAGGGCTACTCTTCCTCACCAAAAAAATAAATAAAATAAAAAAAGAAAAGTACTAGTATCCAACACGTGTAGCCTCATCACTGTCATTAGAAAGTTTTTGAAGTTAGTGTATAGAAAAGAATCATGGAAAAGGACTCTATAAATTATTATGACATTCTGTAATGAAATATTAAACATATTATTTTGGCGGGTTTTTTTGTATGATTTCAAATAGAATTATGCATCATTGGAAAGAAAAGGCAACCCTGTCTCAGGCCTTTTTCTTTTGGTTTTTAATTTTTTGAATTACTACCTAGCAGTTGCCAATCACATGAACCTACTGCCCTGCTGATGTGGTCTTTGTCACAACAGAGAACCTGCCTCGCTGTGGAGCTCTGGAGAGCTTGGTGAATGATGTCTCTGATGAGGCCTGGAATGAGCGTGCAGTGAACAGAGTCAGTGCAATCCGATTTCTGGAAGATGAAAAAGATGAGGAAGACAACGAAACGGTAAGGAAATGGAGATTATTGGCCTCCGTGGAAGTTCAAAATTTAAAAGCCTTCCAAGATTGAGAATGGCACCTAATAAGGATTTCTTTTATTTTCAAATAGTCTGTTCTCTGTTTCGCCTTCAGCATTTAAGAATTGTTTTGTAGAACACACAACTAGGTACTTCTAGGTGCTGATTCACCAATCCATATGGCAAATGGCACTTTTGGTTTTTTTGTTTGAACAGTTTGTAGTGGTGCTTTTTCCTTAATTGTGATAGTTTCCCCTCCTGCCTGCACTGTTTTCTTAAAATTGATTGGGAATTTCTTCTTTTCTATTGTTCCTGGTGAAATAAGTCTCTTCCCGCCCTCTACCCTGTTTCTAGCTGTACCGTGTTGACTTTTTTCACATTTCATGACGTGACTTAGCTTGCCTTCTCTTATACCAAACCTCTCTCTCTTTCTCATGTAACCATTCTTCTTGTCACCCCCATGCAGGGTGCTTGTGATCTTAGTTGGATTACTTTACAAGTTTTCATTCAGAAATCAGAAACAGATTTGTAAGAACCGCTCAGTCTTCCTTTCATCCACACTCGAAAGTGTCCCAGCCCTCCGACATCTCCAGGAGTCAGTGACAGCTCTTGAACCTTCCTACAAGTTGACTTTGGCTCCTTCAACTCCTTGCACAAATTGAGATTTTCATAAGCAGAGCTTAGAAGGAGTGCTCGAAGCCCTCAAAACAAAAGGAGGTTTTTAAATTACCATCCGTAATCTTTGTTATTCCAGCTGTCACCAAAGGGATTTTATCCATTTACAGTAGGAGAGTGGAAAATAGAAATTAGGTATGTCAAAATGACTTCAACATAACGACTCTTTAATGCTTACCTCGCAGCTTCTCAGGGTGGGATTATTTCCCCAGTTACCTCACTGTTTCAACAGTGCTCTTATTTTATTAACCTCCTTTAGCTCCTCCTGAAATTCCTGGACAGACCATTTAAAAGATGTAAATGCTGTTTTACTAGCTAAAGAGCATGTAACACATTAAATAACGTAATTTAAAAAATATTGCCCATATTCTATTACTTCGCTTACAGTACTGTGGTCTTTATGAGAATAACGTGGACTTTCTTCCGTAGGTCACATAAATAGCACACACAGCCGCAAAATAAGAAAAGAGTCCTTCTCTCTCTCCTCCCTTTATCTTCACCTCCCATGCCTCATGGATTAAAGGAAGACAGAACCACTTCATGTAATAGTAGAACATTATAGTGATTTTAATTTAGAATTTTTTACCCTTTATCTTTTTCTTCCTCTACACTCCATAATTATATGTGGTAAATTGTTTAGTTTTTTCTTACTGTTCATGCAGCTTTATTTTTATCTTATACTAATCTCATATTTTAAAAATTATTCTTTTATTCTGAAAGTAATCCTTCTCTCGTGACTAAATACATGTGTGCGACACTTTGATCTTCTGTTAACTAGTAAGCAGTTGATAAATGCCCATAGCTCCAGAGAAGGCTTTTCCGCCCACCCTAACTCATAATCTCCGAGAAGGTAAGACAGTATTGGAATGAACCGCCACGAAGCTGTGAGTTGGAAATCGTAATGGACTAAAATCAAAACACTCAGTCCATTGTTTGTTTTTAGAGAACGCTTCTGAGGCGAGCCACTCCACACCCGGGGGAGTTAAAGAATATGAAGAAGACGGTGGAGAGTTTACGGAACGACATGAATGCTGCTAAAGGACTGGATTCAAACAAAAACCAGGTCAATCATGCCGTTGACCGAGTGACCACTTCTGTGTAGAACGTCACCTCCGGGCTTTACCTCCCGTGTCTTCCCCTGCTGTTGAGATGTTCCCGTCGACTTCTGAGGAGCCTCCTGCAGTCCTTGGTCTTCAGTGGAACCTGCACACCGTGTCCCCAAGTGACGCATGGGGACGCTGCCCTCTCCGAGGAAGTGCCTTACTCAGATCTGTCAACCAGACTTTGCACCCGTGATCTCCTGGCGCGATTTTTTTCTCCCTAAATTTCCGCTGTTTGTAATAAGTAGAATACACTACTGTAAACATCTGACCTTTGTTTTTGTCTTATGTTGAGGTACGGGAGAGCAGGAAGGGGAATTTTTATCCTCCTCCCTCCCATCAAATGCTGGGACATTTTGAACCCAAGTTCTCTTGGACCTACTGATGAGAGAGAGTTTTATGTATGGGGAAAAATTGATACTTTTTTTTAAACCTTTCTTTGGCAGCTCAGATGGTGTAAATTTAAAAATTTTGTATAGGTATTTCATAACAAAAAATATGTATTTCTTTTTTGTTTTATCTTGAAAACGGTACATATTTTAGTATTTGTGCAGAAAAAAAAAACAGTCCTAAAGTATGTGTTTCTATTTGTACCATCCACTTGTGCCTTACTGTATCCTGTGTCATGTCAAACTGGCTGTACACAGTGGCATCCTTGAGCAGTGAGATGAGACCAGGAATGTGGTACTTTTAAAGCAGTGTTGGATTTTAATCAGTAATCTACCTGGTGGATTTGTTTTTAACCAAAAACAAGAGTTATCACCGATTTGTAAATTATATCATTTGATTTTTTTTTTAAAAGATGAACCAAAGGGTTAGACTGCTAACGTTTCATTTCTTACACTTTAACTTTTCATGAATGAGTTTCTTAATAATGAGTACAGTGTCTGATTATACCTACTCAGAAGGTATGTGCCATTTGTAAAATAAAATAGAGCAGAAAAGCACAAAAAGAGAAAACTGATTCAGAAATTTGGTGGGTAAAATACATTATGTACTGCAAAAGAAAGAATGATTTTTATTGAAGAAAGTTTTAAAAGTTTTATATCGAGATATAAAACCACAATAAAGCAAAATAACCTGCAACCATATTAGAAATGTTGCTATCTTTACAAGTGCAATTTAATTTGTAAATAGAGTTTGAATCAAAGTGTAACAAAATATTGCTTCAAGTTTTAATTTTAAATCTGCTAATTTAAGGGATGTGGGATATGTTCTGGTGTGTTTCTATTGATTTCCTTTTTTTTGTATGATGTGATAAAAGAAATGAACGGTGCCAGTCACTGTGGTGTCGAGGAAAACCACGTGGTTGGTTTCTTGTTTTCTCTCCATGAAATAAAGTCACCCTGGACATTAGCCATACAGCTCTTTAAAATTAATTATCACCTGTGTGTTCTTATGACAGTAGGCAACTGAGTTCTTTGACAATGTGCTTCCTTCCATTAAATATCAAACCACTGGTCAGTGTTGAGTGACCTGCCTGTGGGACTTGCCTTCTCTCGTCCTTGCCCCACAGGACAGAACCCGGAACTGCCTTCAGCTCTGGCTCACGACTTCGGATTGTGGCTGTCTGGCCAGTTGAACTCCTTAGAAACCTGGTTTCCACCAACCAAATACGATGCCTTCTTTTACTACCATTCACTTGCTTGTTGAGTTCACTTGGCCTTTTAGGTGGTTTGTATATCTCTATTTTAAAACTGTTTATTGATAAAGTACATGGCACAGCAGTGGTGTTTGGCCAGTCAGTTTATGTCTTCTACCCTAATTTGTGGGAACCTATTTTCTTTTCTCCATTTTAAGATTGTCGCATACTCTGTTTTGTTTTATCAAGATGATGCCACTAACTCTTGGGCTGATGGGTAAGCAAATTGGTTTTATTTAAAGAGAGTCATCTTGGGCCGGCCCTGTGGCTTAGCGGTTAAGTGCGTGCTCTCCGATGCAGGCTGCCCGGGTTCGGATCCCAGGCGCGCACAGACGCACTGCTTCTCCGGCCATGCTGAGGCCGCATCCCACATACAGCAACTAGAAGAATGTGCAACTATGACATACAACTATCGCCTGGGGCTTTAGGGGATAAATAAATAAATAAATAATTTAAAAAAAAAAAAAAAAGTCATCTTAACTCTGAAGAACGAATGAACTTCCAGTGTGTTTTTTGTTTGTTTTCCTATAAAGCCCACCCTTTACCACTTTTTCGTGCCTTTAGTGGAATAGAGGTGGACACAAAAGTGTGTGTGTTTAAATTTTCCTAGGAAATTTTATGTTCCTGATGATTTGTTTCCTTGGGCCTATCTCCTTTCCTTCACATTCACCTGGGTTTTTTTGTGTTTTTTGTTTTCAGTTCTGGGAATTTAGTTTGTTTCCCCTTCCTTGAGAGGGAAAAGTTACTTTCATCTCATTCGTTTATTATGGGTGACACCGCCATGCTCTTTGCCTTCAGGATGCTGGGACCAGACGTAGGCTTCATGATGGAAACAGCACCAGCCCACTGGACCGGCTGGAGAGCATGCCAGCCTCTCCAAGAGGCCTCTCGTTAGTCATCAGGAAAACTACGCAAGAGGATGCCATTCCCCTGTGAGGCCGCTGCCAAAAGTAGCTGACCTTTTCCTAGGGGAGCGTGTAATACAGCATTGTCCTCCCCCTGGCCCCCAGGCGGGCCCCTCCTTTATGAAAGCGGGGAGTACAGTGCCCGGTCCGTTTGTCTTTGGGAGTGACGGGAAAAGCAGGAAAGATTAGTGTGGCGTTTCACTCACTTTTTTCTGAGCCCCTTATTTCCTCTTTTTAGCAAGGAAATTATGCCTAAGTAGGTAACATAGCCCCCAAAAAAGAGGGTGAAATAATGAGTCATTAATGATGAAAAAGGTAAGAAAACTAGAACTGTTTGCCTGGATGTTCTGTTTTTTCTGGAAAGTTTGGAGGAATGGTCCTGACCAAGCCAGTCTGTCTATCTAAAAACTTCCCATCAGCTATCACAAGGTGAGGGAACACAGATGGAATTGCTCACACCGGCCTTTCTCAGCGGTCCTTCTGCCGTCGCTTGTGCAATCTACCATACCCGAGAAGACACGCTTCATGGCTGGGGTGGAGGCTGGGAAAGGGCTTTCCTTGTCAGAAAGTTACTCTGAACAGCCAGTTGTACCTTTGTAAGAATGGCTGACACCCCTGCTCGGGGCATGCTGTCTGACGAGGCACAGCAGTGGAGCTGCTGATTAATAGCAGGTGGTCCTGCAGCTTGTTGACATCCTGGGAGAGCTAAAACCTCGCTTCAGCACTTAGTGTTGGCTTGCCTCACCTTACTTTCCAAAGAGCCAATTTAAAAACTAAACCTAAAACTTTTCATTATGGGTAATCAAAAACATAGAAAAGTAGAATTATATAATGGATCTCTGCATACCTATCACCTGGCTTCAACAATTATCAACACAAGACCAATATTAAGCCCTTTTAGAGGAACCAAATTATGTTTTAAATACATCCATCAGAAGAAGACTGCGCAAGGAAATAGGCAAGGCAGAGAGCACGTGTGCTCTTGACAGTAGCGCTGTGGGGTTTTAAGAGTCGGCGTAGCACAGCCGCTGGGATCGTGTGGACGCAGGTTTGAACACCAGCGCTATGTGGCTTTGGATGAGCTTAACGTCACCAGCCTCAGGTCCTTCGTCTCCGAGACGGGGCAGTAGTACCTCTTCCAGGCTGCAGTGAGGATGGAGTGGCACACACAGAGCAAGCTCTCAGGGGGTGGGTGGCTGCTGTTATTACAGGTCTTGCTGCTGCTGTTATTATAGTGTTATTATATATACATAGTGCAGCTCCTACCAGGGAGCCAGCAGTGTGTGATCACAGGTTGGTGTCATCGGGAATGAGGGCACATGCTGGTTCTCCGCAGAGAAAACTGCATCTGACAACTTCCTCACCTGTGGTGTGGTAGAGAGACCCTTGAGTTAGGTAAAGCGTGGGGGAAATTTTAATTAGGTCCCCTGCTTAGTGGAAAGGTGAGCGGGGGTCTCGCGCTAACCCCCTCATTGTAACTGGACTTACTGGCTGGCTATCCTCAAGGGAAACCTAGTTCCTACCAAGAAACCGGTAAACACCTGATTGAGAAAAGAGTCTTGCTGATTTCCAACACAAAGTCGCCCTCCTTGCCATGTCCTCTGTCTTCTAGGTTTTGGTCTACTGTGCTCATTTACTGGCTTATGTCTGTTGCACCTTTGATTTTCGTAACTTCCTCCTTTTTCACCTCTTGCTGTGTTCTATCTCCTCTCGAAGGGAGACTTGTGAGGCTTCTACGTATCATGAGGGGCAAGTAGATTTCACAGAGGGATCATCCATGGAGAAAAACCTACTGGATAAAATAAGTAACTGCAGCCTAACTTGGGGAGTGTCGAGGACACTCCCCTCTTGCTGGAGGGTTTTCTTTTTTACAAGCTGACAGCTGGCGGGAAAGGGAAACGGACCAGAAGAACCTGATCTGGTTACTTTTGTTCAGCGGGCTGTGTGGAAGGTTGGAGACGAGCTTTTGCGCCTCCCAGCTGGCCAGAAGGATGGTGTAATTTTAAACTGTGAGAGTGGGCAGTCACCGTGACAGGCCAAGACTCTCTGATTTCTGACCGGACAAGAATGCTGATTGGGTTGATTCCCCAAGGTCCTTTTGAGGCATCAGCACTTAATTTCTAAAGGATTAACGAGCTGCCCCTCAGGATAGTGCAATAGAGGTTACAGTGGCTCCTGTTTACTGAGCACTTAGACGTGCCACACACCGAGCTAACCGAACAGTCTCAATTTTCCAGAATAGCCCCATGAGGTAGGCAGGTGGTGGCATTTCCCTGTTTTAAGGAGAGAATGAAGATTCAAATAGTTTCAATAACTTTTCCAGGAACAAACAGTAAATGAAAAAGTTGGAACTCAAATTCACATCTCCGTTGACTAGCGTCTATGATCCCAATCACCCCTTTATTTTGCTTTGCCCCCTCCCTCAGCCAAAATACTGTGAACCTGTGATTACATTTACTGTTGTATTTATCGTAGTGGTGATGTTTCTGTTTTAATTATTGAGATTATTTAGGCCCAGGTTATAGGCAAAGACTGGCATGGAATTGAGGGAAATTTAGCCACCACCTGTGCAGACTTGGCCTTCATTTGCGTGTGGTTATGGTAGCAAGTGCTGTGACTCCGTCCCTCTAGCCCTCCCCCCCACCCCTCCCCGCCCACTCCGTGTCACGCTGTCCTATAGTAAGTGCTGTGGAAATGTTCTACCATCTCAAACTGCAAATCTCAAGAATCTTGGGAGAGAAATTACTTGTTTAGTGAGTGACCAGAAAAAAATTGAGATGTTTTTTAACATTGACTGAAGTGACAGTTTGGTAACAGTCTCTCTGGGAGAGGTTTAACATGTTCCAGAAATTGGCAGTTAGCCCTAGGGTGAGCTAATTAGTTCGGAATGGCTTTTATCCTCGCTCCCTGTGATAGCCTACCCTTGGAGAAGAGACACATAATGAGGCCTTGGAAATCAATGGTGCTGCAACTTGGGCGCAGTTTGGGGGAAATAAGAAAGGTGACTCATGATTCATTATTTAAGACCCTCCTTTTAAAAAGTGCTGCTGTGAAAGATTTGACAAGTAATGATTGCTCTCATTTGGGAACTATCGTTTAATCAAAGAAGCAGAAAACAGGAAGAATCCGAAAACTCGTGTGACTAAGCAGTGTTGCATTTCGTTTGAAACTGGCCCTACCGCCCTGGCTGTAGAAAGAGAAGGCCGTGTGCAGTCTTCACATGGCAAGAAACCCGGCTTGTACCGGGGCATAGTAAGGGACGCCCCATACCTGAGGCCACGACGTAAAAAAAAAAATCTACAGATGCTTCTCTTTAGGTATTTTGTCAAGGTAAGTCATAAATGAGGTCTTACTGCTTGCAGAACATTTCCCAAGATCCCTATGGGACAGCACTTACTGGGCACCTAAGGGAGATGGGCTCTTCTGGGATACGATTTGTTCCTGCGTGGACCCCAAGAGTCCTGTGTTCATGGTCAGACACCCGGCTGCTGCTTCCCGCCCTTCCTCGGTTGTAGGTCTGAGTCTTGTTTGTTTAAACCTCCATCAGTACTGCTTGGAAAAACAAAACAACACTCTTACTTGTCTGGGCATTGAATGTTCTTCCTGGGTTTTTGTCCTGCCCATTGGCCTGGGGGCATAATGGGTGGGGCAAGTTTCGGCGTTGGTTTGGGAAGTTTCGAGAAAGGGCTGTGGGCTGGGTCTGTTAGGTTGGGGTTGCTCTTGGTTTTCATCATTTTGGAATGTCTGAGGGTCAGGGAGCATTGCCATAGATGACTATGGGAGTTATGTTCTGGCTCTGCCACATTCTCACATGAGGGCTGACGCAGCTGGG